AGGCTCGCAGAAAATGCCGTTCATGGGTCAAATTTAGTAGGAATAACACAACCTGTGACGTAGGCTATAGTATACCCAATTGTGCAGTGGTGTGTGTGCCCGAGGCAAACTCCTCGATTAGATACCATTGAGAAAAGAATTGAAACCATTGTAGGGGGTAAAAAAGGTAATATTATTGATCCATTAAAAGAAATCTAGATGTATATTTTAAATTTATTTTTATTTATTATAAGATTTGTTTTTATTTATTATAAAATTTATTATTACTCTAAACTCAGTGGGGTGACAGCCCAAAGAGGGTCAAAGAAGGCCTACTGTGCCCATCTCAGTTTTCTTGACCTTTGGGCTCTGAGGTACAGATAGAGTAGATGTTTCAATTGGGTGGTCAGCCTAATGCGGAACCCCCAGTGTTTAGTTCCCAAGCATGCTTGGTACTCATTTTATTGACCCACTGAAGGGATGAAAGGCTAAGTCAACCTTGTCCAACCCAAGGATCGAACCAGGGACCATTGGCACGACAGCGCGAAGCTCTACCGCTCAGCTAAATTTATTATTACCAACTATTCGTAATTTTTCAATTAAATGTAAGGTTGGCATGAATTTTAATGACCTGAAACTTCAATGCTACAATTCTTTGAAAGTGATATTTTATTCTTCATAAAGTATTTTGATTTAGCCTACTGTCTTCCTGCTAAAAAATTTAACTTCATAGTAAAAATAATAGTAATAGATTGAAGATTCTATCATTAACCGGACAGCCCTTTATTCGCTGGATGCCTGAGGCTGTTGTCCCCTTTTTGCATGCCATTGGTTTAAAATTGGTCTATGTACTTCTTGCAGGGGGTAGCTGGAAAATAATAGATTTAAATTCATAACATCAGATATCTGCAATAATGGACAGTGCCCATGTTGGTAACCTATAGCTAATATTTGTGAGCTTGGCACCCAATATGAGTACTATTTAATATTATGCAAAAAAAAAAATTATATCAACGTAAAATTGAATTCAAAGCCGTCACGAGATGGAGAGACAAGAATATATATTTTTTATTTCGTCTCATGCCACAACACTCTTCTTAAAACCAGAAATGACGTGCATTATACTGTATTATACTGTGTCTGTTTTTCTTTATAACATAATACACAATACCAGGACTCTCTTGAGCTGTATAGACAACTGTTGAGCTGCAACAGTTGTTCTCAATTTTGTCATGGGTTAGTGCTGTTTTTGACTGGGCAGCGTTTTTCTTGCAGTGGTTGCACCCTTTTTATAGCTCATTGTAGGCCTCATGACCATTTTTAATTTATTTAAAATAGACGGTCTCAGTGATTAAAGCAAGATATCTTTAAACAATATACGCTTAAGTATCACAGTTATAAAAACAATTTTCGATCGATGCAATATCGCTTCGTTGCATTAAATTGCAAAAGTTGAAGACTTATCACTTCACTTCATTTACATTGTTTTATGCTTATATATTGCCATCTACATTCAATATTATGAATTAAATATTTTTGTAGCAGTGTCTAAATTAAGCGTAGTGCTCATATTTGGGACTTTTATAATTACAACACGCTAATTTAGAATCACTCATTTGAGTTTAATCACTTTTTGACTCTCTCGATTTGCGATTTATTCCAGCGTAAATCCCTGTAGTTTTACAATTACCTCTTACGAGAGTTGCTGATGTAGATTTTTATATGGTTCTTCAAATAATGCTTTTATTTTTAGTAGGATGTTACTTTGATGACGTTCTCGCAAAATTCGAAAAACAGAAATCTCGCAATAATATAATTTTTCAATTTAAGATACTTCTTTTTTTTTTTTTAAAAAAAATGTTTATTCATATTTTCCTGTTTAATGGGTCCTTTAAAATCAGAGTAATGATTGTTCACCGCCAAAATTCTTTTTTTAATTTTATTTTATTTTATTTTTTTTACTTCGCTTTTCTGCGTTTTTATTTTAGTCTTTAGACTATCGTCTGAAAAGAAAATTTATTTCGTTTATGGGAAACTTTGTAATCTCTGATGATTTAAAATTCTTTAAACTTTTTAATTTTGTTATTTAGTTTACCTGGTGTTCGATAACTTTTTGTAAGCATTATTTTTTTCATTTTAATGTTTATTATTTAAATAAATAAGAAAACGAAGTCGCAATTATTTATGTATTTTAATTTTAGTATATAATTTTTACTAAACCAATAAATTTCAAACTGAAAAAGTTACATTTAATAAACTTTGAATAATTTTCTTTAATAATGCAACGTTTTTTGTCGTATTTGTCATTCCTACTTTTCTAAATTTGCGAACCTGCAAAGAGTAACAACTAAAAACAAAAATTTTACCCCCACCCTCTTAAATAAATTTTAGGCTTTTCATACTTATTGCAGATTAATATAGCGTTTCCCACTACTGGATTGTTCACTGATAAAAAAAAATAAGATAAACCACCATAATTATAGTATAAGGTATAAAAACAAGAATAGGAAGAACGAGAAACTATTATAAGATAAGAGTGTGGATTATATAAAAAAAAAAAAGCTCCTTGATTGAAGCTATTTTCTGAAATTCAAGGTAGAATTAAATCTTTTGTTAAGCGCTGCTTTGAACTATATTTTCTATTATAAAAGAATAAGTGAGATTCTTAAACATTCTAGATCTGCAGAAAAACTAATTTTTTTCTTCTTCATGAAGAAAATAAAAAAGATGATTTATGGCAAAATGACTTAACTAGTCGAAGAAAATCACTTAGTTGTCGAACTATTGTACAAACACTCTGTAGAGAAAACTGTAATGACGGAGAAAGTTATGGCTTTGTCCTTAATTCTTCTCTTAAACTTCCGTCACTTTACCTTAAAAAAATACTTTAAGGCTCATCCTAAATGTATAGGTGAATTCTGAAAGCGCTAATGAGCTCGTTGTTATGTAAAAGAGAAAAAAAAATCCGGTTTTAAAGATGTAATCAGCCTCAATCTCTAAACAACGGTTTTATAATGACTATTTTGCACGTAAAGTGAAAAGAAATAAATAACAATATTTTGACACATGTTAGCTGTCTTCGTGATTTTACTCGTTGTACTACATTGTATATATAATGGAAAAAGATAATACACTTATTTTCTGTTTACTAAAGACTGGTTTTGATAAAGAAAATTATAACAGGTTATTAAGTTATTGAATTTTAGTCTCTTAGGTGGCAATTTATATGAGACGTAAATTAGAAGAGAATTACATTTATTCGCCACATTTATTTCCTGAATTGCATTCCATTTATAAATAATATTGCACAATCTACATTCCTGTAGTTAAAAATTAATGGAAATTTAGGTTCAATAACACTTAATATTTTGTTTCATGTGACAAAGTACTTTTGATTGTTTTTTAAAATCTTGAATCAAACCATAACAGCTTATCAATCAACAGGAATTTTAGATAACAATTTATAAGAGTAAATAATAAGAATTTTTTTCAGTATCACATTTACTTCCTGAACTGCCTTTCAATACAATAATATTGAACAATCTACATTCCTCTAGTTAAAAAAAGTTTAATAGCGGTTTTTCTTGAAAAATACATTAGAATTCACTCTTATTCCTTCGTAAATGTTTATGTTGTTAATTATTCAATTTCTAGAATTTTCGGGTTCTGGAATGCTCTGTTCGAGAAAGTTCGACACCTGTATATAAGGTCATTCAACATTCAGATAGTTGAATAAAGTCTCAAATTGAGATTAACACTCTTTGTGTTTTCTCGCCTTGAGTAATCTGTAACTTATGTAATTTACGCGACAATATTTTGATCCATGTGGCACAATAGTTTTATTTGTTTTTTAAAATCTTTACTTAACCTGCAACAGTTTATTAAATGGTATGAACTTTACGTGACAATTTGCAAAAGTAAAAATCATAAGATATCGTCCAGTGCCATATTATGGGCGTGTGAATCTTCCGCTAATTCGCGGATTTCCGAAAATCAGTACTGATTTTTGCCTATTTTCGCAATAATATTTATTACAACGCGTGAATCTCAAAACGTACGCTTAAGCAACCCTTTTTTGACACGTTCGAGATTTCGGCATCAATACCCATAGTTTTATCAGTATTTTCAGTATTTGCCTTAAATTTTTTTATTTTTTAATATTTTTTTTTATTTAATGTTATATTTTTCATTTCTATAGTTTTTGGTGCTAGAACGACTTGAAAAGGGTGAAAAAAGCGGAAAATTTAGTATTTTTTGTTATATATATATTCTTTTATTTGTTGATAAGAAAAAACTTAATTAGATTTAAAAAAAATCTGTCTTTAAATTTACTTTTGAACAAGAAAATGAAGAAAGAGAAAAGAAAAGAAAAAAAAGTATTAAGAAAAGAAGAGAAATTAAGTACAAAAAAAAAACTGCATGTTGAGGAAAAAAATTCAGATAATTTCATTTACCTGCATATTTAATTTCTGATTTACATTTGTTTTTCAAATTACAATTCATACTGTACATTTTGCTTATTTAATGAAATAAAATTCTAGAATTAAGGTTCGATAACACTTTATATTTTGTTCCTGGTAAAACAACAGCTTTACTTGATTTTAATTAACTTTTCTTAAGCTATTATAGCTTTAATAATACTTAAACTAAATCCATAAGTTTAAGATAACAATTTATAAGAGTAAATTGTATAATAATTTTCAGCGCCGCATGTTTTCCCTGATTTATATTTCATTTACATGTAACACGGCACAATCTGAGTTTTTCTGGTTGAAAGAAAATAGTTTGAGAATTAGTATTTTGTAAATCCAGTATTTATGTAAAACTGAAAAGAAAAGTAAAACGAGATTTATATGCTACTTTTTCAATGAGTATTTCGAAAGTATCTTCCATACCACTTGAATGAGGAAGATAAATCCTTAGTGCAAAATATATACTTAATGTAAAGTACTAAATTTAAAAGGTGCATGTAAAATATGTATCTTAATATCACTTTTTACTATTTTTCTTTAATGTTTTAGGTCTTGGAATCCAGATGAAAGACATACGTGGATGGTTAAGAGAAGTTGAAGATAAACTTAGAAAGCTTCACGTGTATCCTGAAAGCAATTTGTCAGAAATCCATGATATCCTGAAGCAGCAAAAGGTAAGACTATATATATTTTTATTCAAAGGATTTTCTTTTTTGTTTGCGCATTTTTAATTTTTTACGCTCTAAATGCAAATAGTTAACTGCACGTTAAAATTTTATTGTACCATCTTTGAATCTGGTGTTCAACATACCGGACATGAGCTATTCACTTTTATGATTGATAAATAATCAACCATGAGTCTATATATTTTAACCATGAGTCTATATAAAGAGAATCCCTATTAAGATAATTAACAATCATTTTAATCACAAAAATCAGCAAGTTTTAGTTTTTAATTCTTTACCACTTTTTAAAACCTTTTTACTGAAAGCGGCATCACTGATTTGAAAATAATTTATCTTTATCATTTTTTAAAAGTCATATGTTTGAAAAGGATTTTTTTATTGTTAGATTTGCCTCTTGTAAAAGCTTCAATGTTCATCCCAGTTGAGCCCTTTCGCTGTATAACATGATAGTAATGTCTGAAACCACTTCTCTTTGCTGTCGGAGCAATCTTATTGGAATTCACATGATTTGGTTACTCAATAAAGAGATAAGATCCAAATTTCTTGAGTTGACATCAGAAAAAACTTATAAAGATTTTTTTATAAGTGGAATATTTTTTTTAAACTTTATTTAAAAATATTTAATTGAAGTATTTATTTGTCCTATTTTCTCAGTACTATTCTGCATTAATTTTATACTTTTAATATTTTTTAATTTACGCTTTTAGTATTTTTTAATAATTTGCGTAAATGCCTTCTAAATGTATTGTAAATGCCTTGGTTTAAGGATCTTAGTGTTAATTTTTAAATTTAGTATGTTTTAAAATAAATAAGAAATTCGGCTCTCTACCATTGTGCGACTGTGATGCATTTTTAAATGTGCAATTACTAATAAGAAAGCTTTCTTATTACTAAACATACACAAATTAGAAATTGTAAGATACGAAACAGCTTCATAACATACATTTACACTTAATGCATGCCAACAAATATGTAATTTTTTTCAGATACAAGCGCAGGCCTGAAAGCGGGACGGAAAAGAGAAAATACTGGTAGAAGAACTATTTCAATATTAGATAATATTCGGGAGGAGTTAATCTATTCTCAACAATAACAATTCACTGTAAGGAAATTTATCAATTAAGAAGCAATTCAATTTAAAAATTGCATCCGTTAAAAACAATTGGTAGTTATGAGTTTTTATTATTCCCGGAAAAAAACTAAAAAATGAAATTTATTTGTTACCAGTTTTTACTCTTTTCCGTCTCGATACATATGGACTTTCAGCCCTGTAGAAGAGTTATGTGGATAGCGGATAAATTTAAATAGGCTCCCATATAATTTAACCAGTAGAATGGGCGAATATTTTGGCTCTAATGTTATTTTTATCACTGACACATTTAGAATACATTACATTTAGAATACATTACAATTAGAATAGTTTTCTTTATTTGAATTACGCGAGTTAAATATTTTTGCACTCATTTATTTGCCTAAAGGGCATTTACTCGCAAAAAGTTTTTAACGATTATTTATTATTCCTTTGTTATTTACTTTAATAATTTTCATTCATAAATAGTTTTTTTTTGTTTTTAACTTTGCGTGATAATGTAGGAAATTTTTCACTCATTATTTTGTCATCTAATTTTTTATACATTTTGAAATCTGTATATGTACGTTTAAAATCTTAAGTTTAATCGAAATCGGTAAATTGCTTTCAGGAAAAAAACTACAAAAGAAGAAATTTTTTTTTATACAAATCAAACTCTTTTAATAATCTTTTAATTGAATAACAATTTAATTATGTCCTGGATTTTCGAATAATTAAAATATCTTAGGTAATTTTCACAAAATATGTAAATTGACTCTTAGGATGCTGGATTATAATTTAAAAAGTTATGCCGGATGTAGGAATTTTTTTAAAATTTGAGTTATAAAAAATAAATATCTTTAATGCATCAATATTGTATGAAGATTAAATTTTTCATTATATATTTCCTTCTCAAAAAATGTGTGTACAGTCTTGTAAACATAAATTTATAAAAAGTTAAATAATAAAAGCATTCTTAAAATATGAATAAAAGATGAAAAACATTTTTTATGCATAAAGAATTCTGCTCAATAATTTCCTATTATTATATTTTTTGCTTGTTCAGATGTTTTCATGGCAAATAAACTTAAAAACTCCTTAGCTTTATCAAAATCGAATTTAATATACCTAATAATCATTTTACAAACACTACGCAAGAAAATGAGTTTCTAGATTTTGTTATTCATATATTCTATTCTATCTTCATGAGCTACTGTTTTGTTAGCAGCAAATCATTTTTTTAAAAAAGAGTTCCGTAATGATGTATTCGAGATAAATGCGTTTTATTATTGAAAGGCTTTAATTTTCGTGTCATTACATTGCACAACATATTGAGTTCATAATAATATCCAAACCCAGGAAGTTAACCTTGCTTTTGCGTTTCATGAGTTACACCGCCCAAATTCGACCGTTATCCCCTCCCATTGTTTCTTTTTCAAAGTTGCTTAGCATCAATAAATGAAAAAGCAATATACCTTAAAACAAAATATTTAAAGTGTGAGACACAAAGCTGAATGGTTTACCAAAATATCGCGAAATCTCGATATTTTTTTAATGTTGCGACTGTTTATAAAAGTGCATTTCAAGATGTATCATGAATTGTATGCCTTACGATATATGTATTGAATGCTATATTATCGCTATCCTTATAGATATCGATAATTATAGAGTACAATAATATCACAATAATTATTAACAACGCTGTTATAGTGATTTTTCCAGTTTCTTTCAACAAAAATTAGAGTTGTTTAAGGAAATTGAAAAAAAATTCTTTTCATGGAAAAAGGAAAGCATTTGTCTGTCTGTATTTGAAAATATTGCGATCTATCACATTGAATTGATTAACATTATAGCTCAAAATTTTTTGCATATTATAATCATTGTTATGCGTATTATTTATTTTTCTTTTTGAACCAGTTTTCATTTGTCATTTCTGTTGCAATCTTTACAGTTGTTTGGATTTTGGATCGATCAATTATAATTTTTTTTTCAAAAAGAGTTAGAATATTCTGCAGTGCTTCTTATATCTTTTTTTTTCTATAACTTACTAACTGTAAATTTGTGGCTTTGACAATATGTAAATGCGTATGTTATGTGATTTAGTAAGCACTTGTTTGATTTTATTATACATAATTTTTTTATGAAATATATTTTTTTTAAAAATGTGTTACAATCCAAGAAACATACAACTATTTATCAATTGAATAAAAGAATATGTAATTTATATTACAACTGTGGAAGATATTCTTCCAGAAAAAAGTCATTTTAGTAGATCCTCGTAGTATTCTTTGCGCTTTGTTATTCTTTGCAAACTTCTAACGTTTTTTTGGAGAAAGCTTTTTTGACCTAAAAACCTATAAATGTAATGTATAAACAAGCTAAGCATGGATCATTTCAGGTAAAAGTAAAATTCATGCTTTTAGACTCCATTTAATTTGCTTTGATTGCGTAACATTGCAGTTAGCAATATTCTAACACTCATTAAGTAGTTTATTTTCATAAATTAACTCTGTTGTATAAAGCTCTTTCACTAAGAAAAAAAACCAATAGTTTACTTGCCTTAGACTCAGGGAAAACTTACGATTTTAAGTAATTGCTTGTTTAACTCATTTTCTGGATTTTATATTTTATTTCGATTACAATGCCGATAATTTAACAAGTTTTTTTACTTACTCTTAAATTGTTTTTTATAATTAAAAAATAAAAAAAACTATTTTTACTTGTAGTCAGAGCGTCTGAAAAATATACCCAAAAGACCTACATCAAAAGGTTAAAACAGGCAGATATCTTAATTATTTGCTAAATTTGGAAACTTTAAAAAACTTTCAATGAATTTTTGGGTTACCACTACTTTGCTACACTATTACGTTATCCAGTAATAGTTAGTGATTGGAGCCTCGATGGAACTAAAAAGAAAAAGGATGACTTGCCCTGTCGTCGCCGGCGAGTTTTTTCTAGGCATGTTATCATCTTAAAAACATAAGCATAAGTTAGCATTTAGTAGTATTTCAAATGCATTTTTTAGCGTAATTATCTACTCAAAAATAGCCTAATTATCTTCTCAATTTTTAAGAAACGTTGATTTAAAAAGATTAAAAAACGCTCAAAGGCTCAATGAAGGTCATTATAATGCTCTAAATACTTTTTTGTAAACACGCTTTGTAAATAACAAGAATTTTGTAAATAACAAGAGAAAATATGCTTGTAAGAAAAGTTATCTTCACGAAAATTATTATTATCTTCTAAGATTATTAATGTCATTGTTATCTCAAGAGTATCAGCAATTTAAAATTGTAAATGATTATAAATTGTCAATTTGGTTTCCGAAGAATTTTGTTTGAATTCATTTTAAATTATTTTTCAAAAATAAAAGATTATTGAATTGGGAAAAAAATTAATAACCGTATTTATTTCTTGAAATATTTTTAAATAGTAATCGATATTATAAGAAAAGAGAAAAAATAAACAAGCTCATTTTTTGTTATATTTTAGGCTTTTGTTATATAAAAGACTTTTTATAAATTAAAATTCAAATTAAATTTTTCCTACAAGTTCATTAAAATAATTTACCCCAATTAGTGTATCAGTCGCATAAAATAGCTCAAACACATTTATCCCTGCTATTGATTTTTTTTTTACCTCAGTTAAATGATATCTTATCCTAATCAGTTTCTTTATTTCAAAATATCGTGCATTTTAGATTTATACCAACCAATATATTAAATTCAAAATATAATTTAGAGTTACTCTACTATATTTATAAAGTAAACCTTTATGTTTTATTCAAAAGAAGGTGTTTTAAAAGTATAGTTTTCATCAAATAATACTTATCCATTTTCTATTCACTTTCCTTCGAAACAAATTAAACATCAGTGATAGTTTTTGTTTTTTGTGTGTTTTTTAAACTATAATTTATAAT